CTCATGCTAGCATACTACTTACAATCTCATTCATTCCAGAAACTGATTTTTATAAAGGGTAGTTTTTTTTTTTCTGTTAGGCATTAAATTTATCCATCTTAAAAATACCTTTACACAAGGTATTAAAAAAGATATTAAGACCTTTCCTTCATATCCATATAAGGTCTCTTTCTCCAGCTTCCAGAGAAGTGGTTTAATAATTCACACTAATCTATACAAGTGAAATAGGACATAGTGGAAGAAAAAAATTATCATTGAGGAAATAAAACTTGTTATAATTATGTTATAAACATGAAACTTAAAAAAAATCAGAATTTCAGGGGCTAGAGATGAAGCTCAGTGCTAGAGACAACATTTAAAATGATGCAAGGCCCTGGGTTTGAGCTGCAGCAGTGAAAAAGCAAATAAATTTCAGACTTTAGAATCCTTTACGCACTTATTTAATGTATATGTACATATGTGCATATGAGTATAGTTGCCCCGAGAGGCCAAAAGAGGGTGTTGGATCCCTTGGAGCTGAAGCTACAAGTAGCTGTGAGCCACCTGATGTGGATGATGATCAGAGCTGAACTTGGGCCCTCTAAAAGAGCAGCAAGTGCTCTTAACCACTGAGACATCTCCCTAGCCCCCAGAATTCTTTTTAGTGCTTTTCTCATTATCAAATACATGTAAAAAATTTATAAACTATGATTTATGCTCTATCCAATTAATACATGTGAAAATTTATACTCTATAAATAATGCATACTTGAATACATATCCACGTATCATTATGATATATATTATTTTCAGAGTCACCTGTAAAGATGTTTTAGCCAGGGATGGTGGTTCATGCCTGTAATTACAATAGTTGGAGGACTGAGGTAGGAGGATTACCACGTTTGAGGCCAGCTTGGGTTACACAGTTGAGTGTCAGGCCAGCCTGAGATATATAGCAAAACCTTGTCTCAAAAGAAAAGAAAGAATAAAGAAAAGAAAAGGAATGGATGCTTTTGAGAACAGCTCCTATCCAGATTACTTAGGCTGTATGAATGGATACCAGAAGAGCTGAGCATTCTTTTTTTTTTAACATCTTAAATATTGAAATTTCATTTAAAAAGTAGAATCTTTGGTTTTCCTGGGTGAAATCCTGTGTAGATTTTAACACATAGGATGAATTGCAAAGATAAATGTTTGGGGAAAAATTCAATGGTTTAGCATTTTCTTCTTCTTCCTTGGAGGGGGTCCTGTGAAGTTATCCACCTCATTTTATTTTTATTTTTTTTAAATATAGAACGCTTCACGAATTTGCGTGTCATCCTTGTGCAGGGGCCATGCTAATCTTCTCTGTATTGTTTCAATTTTAGTATATGTGCTGCTGAAGCAAGCACTATTTTTATTTTTTAAAATATTTTATTATTTTTATTTTATGTGTATGTGTGTATTGATGTATTGCTTGCATGTGTGTAAGTGCACCCATGTCGTGCAATGCCTGTGGAGGTGAGAAGAAGGAGTTGGATGTCTTGGAACTGGAGTTATGGACAGTTGTTAGCTGTCACGTGGGTGGTGGAATTTGAACCCGGGTCTTCTGCAAGAACATTCAGTGTTCTTAACCACTGACCCATCTCTCCAGTCCCTTATTTTTAAAATTTTATGTGTATGAGGGTATTGCCTGCATGTAGACAGGTGCACTCAGGACCTCTTCAAAAGCATCCAGTGCTCTTAATCACTGATCTGTCCATCTCCTCCACCTTATTTTTAATATCTCTCTCTCTCTCTCTCTCTCTCTCTCTCTCTCTCTCTCTCTCTCCTCTCTCTCTCTCTCTCTGCATGTACGTGTGTGTGTGTGTGTGTGTGTGTGTGTGCTGGCACACAGAGGTCAAAAGACAACCTTGGTGAGAGTCTTAACCTTCCTTGTTGTCTGAGACAGGGTCTCATTGTCTCATCACCCCTGCTAGGCTAGGATAGCTGGCCTGTGAGCTTCTGAGGATTCTTCTGTCTCCATTTCCCAACTCCCTGTAGGCAACATGGGATTACAGGCTTGCTGACATGTTTGGCTTTATAAAGTGGGTTCTGGGAACTCAAATACAGGTAATCAGGCTTCTGTGACAAGTGCTTTGCTCACTGAGTCATCTCCCTAGTCCTGCCTAATTCTTTTAAAAACATTTTTATTTAATGTGTATGCAGGAATTGCCCGCATGTAAGTGCACCCGTGTCATGTGATGCCCGTGGAAGACAGAAGAGGCTGTCAGATCCCCTGGAACTGGAGTTATCTGGACAATTGTTAGCTGCCATGTGGGTGTTGGGATTCAAACTTGGGTCTTCTGCAAGAACAACCAGTGTTCTTAACCACTGAGCCATCTCTCTAGCCCCAATTCTTTTTAAATTTAAATTTAATTTAATTTTATACTATTTTTTTGAGACAAGATTTCCCTGTAGCCCCAACTGGCCTGGAACTTAGCTTTTACATTAAAAAAATTTTTTTTGAGGGTTTCTGATAATGCTACATTCTGAACATACAAAGGGTACAAAATGAATTTTTTCCAGAATATTTCAAAGGATGGTGCCAGTCTATCATTGTCTGCAAAGCACATTCACATACTGTTACTGTAGGTTATTTTGTCTCTTAATTAAAGTAAGACACCATATGTCCATAGTTTTGACCTGTACTGAAACGGGGGGGAAAGAGGGTTCCCTAGAGGGTTCTTAGTCTCATTCATAAAAGAATTGAAGGATGAACCCAAACGGCAGAAAGCAGACAGACTTACAGAGATCTACATGACTGTGGCTGGTCAGAAGTTCTGCGGCGTTCTGTGTTACAAGGTGGGATTCCAGGCAGGAAAAAATCACTATGTCATTAATGCACCAGGTATTCCGCCCATCTATTTAGCATAACAAAAAGTGAACCTGCCTTCCTAGGGGTGGTTCTATCACCAGGTGATTGACCAGTGAGATTGGAAAGGTGGTCCTCCAACAGATAAACTAGGGATTTTATAGTCTTGACCAGTTAAATTTATGGGATTTTTGCTACTCTAACATCCTCCCGCCTCTGAAGAGCTAACCCTAAAATCTTTTAGGGATTAGATAAGAGCTCCCAAATACTTTTGATGTTTTTGGCCTTTGGAACAGAGTATACTGCTAAGAGGCCCAAGGACATTTTAACTTTTAGACAAGATACTGGTTACTTTTCTTTGGGATCTTTAACAACTCTGATTTGAAAAGGCCTGCTATCTTTTGGGCTGGTAGAACTGTTAGTTCTAGAAAGCTTGGAAATAAATGAGAAGGTATGAAAGATATACCAAAGATTACTTTAGTACACAAAAACTGGATAATGCTTATTGTGCCTACAAAGAATATTCACTAACAATTTTGAGGGTATTCATTTTCTACAGTCTTCTGGACCTGTAATTTAAACATATAAAAGACTAAGCCAATACTGAAGCTGGATGTAACTTCCCTGACAATCATATAGCATAAAGGGAAATATAAAGAACAACTTTTCTACTAGACATGTTTTGATTTACATTCTCTTTCCTTGTAATATTGAAACTACAGTGTTCTTACCAATATGTTATTATTCAAGAGACATTTCCATGTTTATCTTATTGTTTATTAAAAATATCTAACTCAAATTTGCTGCTTCACTCGATGAAGTGTTTAAATGATCAGGATAAGAAAGTAGAATGCACTAAGCCTGAGGTCAAAGATTTACACCAACAGGTTTTGTGTGTGTGTGTGTGTGTGTGTGTGTGTGTGTGTGTGTGTATCCGTGTCTGTATCTGTGTCTGTGTGTACACTCACCTGTGCATGTATAGAAACCAGAGATCAACTTCAGGTGTCTTCCTCTATTGTTCTCTGCCTTAGTTTTTGAGACAGGGTGCCCCAATGAACCTGAAGCTCACCATTTCAGGTGGACTACCTAGCTGGAGAGCACCTGGAATCTGCCTGTTCCTGCTCCCTAACTCTGGAGTTAGAGATGCACACTGTGCCTGGCTGGGGATCCGAGCTCAGGTCCTCATGCTTGCATAACAAGCACTTCACCCACTGAGCCATCTCTCCCCAGCCCAAATGTTAGTTAGCATTTTTATAAGAGCATTTTCCAAATGCAATTTTAAAAATAATTGTATATATTTAAAGTGTACAATATCATGGTTTTGTGTTTTGGTTTTCCTTTTTTGAGACAAGTTCTCACTATGTAGCCCAAGCTAGCCTGGGACTCAGGATCTTCTTGCTTCAGCCTGCTGAGTGCCAGGTTTACAGGCATGTGCCACCAGAACAGTGCCACATGATATTTTAATATGCATATACATAGTGAATGATTACTACAGCCAAGCAAATGAACATATCTCCTTACATAGTTATCTTTTCTTTTATGTTACAAGACCCTGAAATCTGTTCATCTGGTAAATTTTCAGCATATAATACAATTTTATGTATTCTCACCATGCAGCATGTTAGCTATCTAGATGTATAGATTTGAATCCTGGGAAATCTTTGAAATTTGAGCTTGAATGCTTGGATACACAATTGAATACAGAGAAAACATGGAAAAGAATGCTAAGAATTTACTGCTGTGAGTCAAGATTTAGAAACTTAGACCAATTAAAGGGTAGAAAAACATCTAAGTAAAAATTTGATGCTTTTCATTTATAATAAATGATAGGACACAACACATTAAAAATAACAGAATGACCTAGTTAAAAATAATTCTGGTAATTAAACATTGGAAATTATTGGCCTAGGTGAAAACAGTTACAGCTACTTCTACTAGGAATAAAGGCAAAACTGGAAAGGCTGAACAGGTAAATAAACAACGGCTGGCATTAAAGAACAACAGACAAAATAACTGGCCAGAGGCTGGTAGTCATGGAAACGCCATTCAGTTACTGTGAACACAGCTTCCAAGTATGGAGGCCTCCTGTTATTTGGCTTCATTACCAGTGAGTCAAAGCACTTGTCATAACATTCAGTAAACCATAACACAATCATTAGAATTGGAAGATTCAAAGCAAACTCACTTACCTTCCCAGTTAGAACTGAGGGAAATTCAGTATCAAACTTGTTGCTCAAGCCAAACCTTTAAAACAAAGACAGAACAAAATATATTCTATCTAGCATACTTAACCCATTCCTTTTTTTAAACAACATGTTATAAACAAACCCATGCAGTTTTCTTTTGGCCCCACAATTTTAAAATGTGTCCTAAGTATGTACAACTCCCTAATTCATGTACCAATTAAAAATCAAACTTAATTAAAAATGCATACATAAGTCCCAACATGACACTAAGGTTGAAAAAATTATGTTCTAAATAAAATTTTACATGCTACTTATAGAAAATAAAATCTTAGAATATTAATCCAAATTAACAGTTAAAAAACAATTTTAAAATGGGATTCTAACTATACCCATGATATGGGATTAAAAATTAATCAATTTGAGAAATACATTTTAGAATCAACAGAAAATATCATGATGATTTTAATATTTTATTTTTATTTGTAATTATGTGTGTGTGTATCTGTGTGTGGGTTTGTGCATGTGAGTGCAGTGCTCACATATGCCAGAAGAGGGAGTCAGATCCCCTGGAGCTGGAGTTATAGACAGTTGTGAGCTGACCAACCTAGGTGTTGGAAACTGAACGCCAGGACTCTGCAAGAGCAGGACACATTCTTATGGACAGAACTATGTCTCTGGTCCCATGTTGTACTTTTTGGCTAAAATTTTTTTTTGTTAAAAATCTACTTTAGTTGATAATTGCTGGAGCTGGATTATGGATATGTAATATAAGAGACTAGATTATGTTGTTCTTTCTATTCTTGTTCTATTGGCAGTTGATTACTGCTGGGTGAGGAAAAGCTGATCTTCTTAACTGGAGAGACTCTAGATAGGCTGACTGGACTCCAGTAGATGAACTTACACTGAAGGACATCTGGGGACACTAACTTGACATGATAGGACTTAACAAAAATAACAGAATGTATGAATTCCAGTGGGGGGTATTGGGAGGGTGCCAATGGGAAGGGACATAAAGTTGATGAAGATTGATTAAGATATTCTGTATGAAATACACAAAAATTTAAAACTTACAAAAGAAAGCATCCTCTCTTCCATTATTGCAGCCTTTGGAGCTATAGCTTGATAACTTGTGGCCAGTTACTCTTCAGATAATCAAAATTTGATCTTTTAAAATGGCTTTCATGTGCTTAATCAATTTTGAGAAAAGAAAAGATCCTAGACTCTAAGGCTTTCTCTTACAGTATGCTTACTATAATCTGTAAGAAAGCCAAAATGAATTTTATAGACCTTTGCTCGCTTACTTGTTGAATTCAGCTGGGATGACATAGGTAACTTCTTGAATGTTAGATGATACCACAGCATAGTAACCAATTACATTTTATGTCAGTGGATAATAGGTAAATAAAAAGGAAAGTACACTAACATTGAGAACTCCACATAAAGAAAGCAGTAATAGCAACAGATTCCAATGACTATGTACTTTACCAGGCTAGATACTGTGCTAAGTAACTATATTATTTCACAACTTTAAAGGTCTTCAAGAGATGTATTGTCATCTCCATTTTTCGAAGAAGGAGGTTGACAGTCATAAAAGAATATTTAAATTCCATTAATTGCCAGGTGTGGTGGCACACATATTTAATCCCAGCACTTGGGAAGCAGAGGCAGGCAGATCTCTATGAGACTGAAGCCAGCCTGGTCTACATAGTGAGTTCCAGGCCAGGTGGGCCTATAGGGATTCCCTATCTCAACCACCCCAAATGAATTAATTAAATGATTTGCCTAAATTCATGTTCCTATCTAGTTAAGAATTAGGGGGAACTAATGTTAAAATGCCGACCTAAGTCCTTTCCATCCTGTGTTAAGGTCCTTGAGAGCAGAAACCACAGGCATTTATTTCGCTATTTAAAAAATATTTTATTTATTATTTTTATGTGTATAATTGTATTGCCTGCATGTGTGTAAGTGCACCCATGCCATGCAATGCCCGCAGAGGTCAGAAGAAGGTGTTGGATTTCCCTGGACGTTTACTTATGGATGGTTGTTAGTCACCATGTGGGTACTGGGAATCAAACCCGGGTCCTCTGCAAGAGCAGTCAGTGCTCTCAACCACTGAGTCATCTCTCCAGCCCCTAATTTGCTATTTTTAATAATAAAAATAGCAGTATAAGAGAATCTAATAGATATTTAGTAAAAGTTTGATGAATAATAAGCTACTGTACTGGTTGATTCAACTGACCTATGGTACTTTGGCTTAGGGTCACTGTGAAGAAATGTTAAGAATCCCATGTGTGGTTAAAACGTTATACAGGAATTTTATATTCTCCCTCAGATCATATGTGCTAATAGCTCACTTTTATGGAAACAGGCTGGTCTTAGCCACAAATACTCTCTGTGTCTAGCAGCTAGTAGCAAGATATGGCTGACTGGACTCAAGTGGACACATTAGCACTGAAGGGCACTTGGGGTACAAATGCCTGAATGAAGAGGACTTAGCATGTGTGGCGGAATACATGAGGGTTGGTGGGAAGATGGGGGAGGGGGTCTGAATTTGATTAAGAACTGTTGTATGACGTTGAAAAAGCTCAATAAAAAATGAACTCAAAAAAGATATGTCCATATGTACAAATACACTGCATCTTATATGTGAAAACTATACTTCAAATCAAATCCTACATTTCTCAAAATTATTGAGAAGAAATAGTTAGCATATGTAAAAGGCCATAATTACATTAAAAAGACATTCATTACTATAAGGAGTCACATTCTCTTCAAGCCTGCACATAGACATAATACAACCAAACTTGAGGTGGTATATCCCTATGCATGAATTTGTATGGCAACTTTCATCAGTGTGTGAGTGTGTGCACGTGTGTGTGTGTGTGTGTGTGTGTGTGTGTGTGTGCTTATTTGTGCATATATAGGACATGAAAATAGAAGGGTACTATAAGAGGGGAGGAAGAGTTCTTTAAGGGAGGAGGGATGGAGGAACAAGGACAATGGATTACGTGCGACATGAAAACAGATGTTGGAACTATTGGGGGGGCGGAGAAGGGTACTAGAAAGAGGAGGCGGGTAGGCCGGGTGGGCAAATGAAAATAAAGTACAATGATATGTATGTATTATAATTAAATTCACTACTCTGTATGCCAACTAAAAAAGTTATAAACATTTTAGTCTTCTGCTTGAGAAACGGATACTCTATTATTAAAAATGTATTTGAAATCATGTGTTAACTCAACAATCAATAACACAACAAATATTTAATGGTGCAAGAAGCACATTTCACTTAAATCATTATTTAATGACTTTCTCACTAGTTGAAAATATGTAATTCATTATTCTACAGAGTAATTCTTAATGCACAGCAAAGAAATAGATGCATTATTCATTTTTAGAAAGTAGACAATGATACATTTCCAAGAATTCTATTTTTGTATCTTGTCTAAATGTCTCTTAGATGCACTGTCAATAGCATGTCCTTACTGAAATTAGAGATTGCTACCATTTTAAATTTTAACAGGCACCATTTCTCTACTAGGTATTATATACATAATTGATTAAAAATGGATGTGTCTACCAAGAATGCAGAGAATATTTTCATTTAAAAATTCGTAGATTTGCTTATGTTCTCTTTATACTGATCACTGGATGAATGAATCTTCCACTGTTTCTGTTTCCCCAACATCCCCTCCTTTCTTAACCGTTTGAAGTTTCATTTTTGAAGCCAATATTTACTCTCAACAATATTTTGTTAGATAAATTTATTCAACACAAGTTTTCTTTTTATCACCAAGTTCAATGTCCTTTTCTCAGAACAAAATTTTTCTATTCACTTTTGATCTGTCCATCCTTAACATTCTCACTCTTTTAAAATTTTTATTTATCATTTTTTTTATAAGTATGAGTGTTCCGCTTGCATGAGTATCAGTGCATTGCATACATATAGTACTGTGGAGGCCAGAAGAGGGCAATGGATCCCTCCCAGTACTGTAGATGGTAGTCAGCTGCCATATGGGTACTGGGAACTGAACCCAGGTCCTCTACAAGTGCAGCCACTGCTCTTAGCCACTGAATCATCTCTCCAGTCCCATCTCAGTCTTTTTTTTAATATTCTTTTTAATGTTTTTAGAAGAAGCATATCATTACAACTTTAACATACTCAATAACAGTTTCCAGGGCAAAGATACATCTCTTTCAAAAGTGGCTATAAAATTTTTAGGTTCGCTGTTGAATTAATACAGTTATACAATATTGAACTCAGTATAAGCCCTGTAAGACATAAAATTGAATTAGTTTTTAACCTTTAAAAAAGATCTCCATTTCATTTTAAAATATACTGTTTCTTACAGAAAGACTCATTGTTTTTGCTACTAATACCAAGATATTGGCGTATGCGTCTCTAGTCTGTATGTATCTGATTATTACTAGTCATAATCGGTTGCACTCGGATCCTTGGCACCCGTGTATGGATATAAAGTCATCAGGTAGATTATCAGCAACCTTACTATGATTTCATCTGCCGGTGCTTATCTTTCACATCTTTTCAGCAGCATATTGGCTCATTCAAGCATATATTATACTCCTTTTTGTGGAACCTAATAGCTAACAAGAAGCAACTTAACTGAAGAAGTATCTATTCAAGCTTACATTTTGAGAGGATATGGTCCACCATAAAAATAAAGGCATGGTGGTTGGAGTATAAGGTGGCAGTTCACACTTTGTCCTCATTCGGGAAGCAGAAAGAACACTGGAAGTGGGGCCAGGCTATCAAACCTCAAAACCCTCCCCAAATGACACAATATCTCCAGCAAGGCTCCACCACTCAAGCCACAGCCTTTTAAAACAGCACCACCAGCCGGGACCAAATGTTTAAATGCATAAGCCTATGGTGAATGTTTCACAATCGAACCTGAGCAGGCACATTTTCTAAAACTTTCATTCTTTACTCTACAGGGTCCCTCCATAAGTGCATAATTATATTGGTACCTTTAGTCTTTGGTTATACTTTCCTTTTGGGTGTTTAAGGTCATACAGTTGGCCCAGATAAACCAATTA